TATATGGTCTAAAACAGTATTCTAAGGTGATTGAAATGTTTTTAAATGTAAGAATGACTAGGGTCTATTTCAGTCTTTGTTCCATCCACCACCTTTCTCTCTTCTCTTCTGTAGTAACTTCTCTCTGTCAACCATGTCTTTTAGAGCACTCAGTGGTATTACATTTTTAAAATAAGAGAACCATCATTGTGCAGAAACACCACAACTTCCACATCATTGTTTTTCAAACATGTTCACATATAGTGAGCACTTGGAAGTGTTGCTTGATTATTAAGATGTGGTGATATATTCAATTCCATTATTCAAATTAATGATTTTTCTTTTTTTTTAAACTAATGATTTTTCATGCATATGACAGTATTACATGCTTCTAACGCATAGCATAACCACTGACTCTTATTTCAAAAACAAGTAAAGCCAGTCTGCTAAATTAAGCATAATGGCTTATTTTCTCAGTCTTCTATTGTATTTGACACATATTTATTTTTTAAATGAGTCATGGTGGAGCAAAAATTTAGTAACAGCTGTTGTTCAGTTGCCCCATCATGTCTGACTCTTCGAGTCCCCATGGTCTCATGCCTGGTTTCCCTGTCCCTCACCATCTTCTGGAGTTTGCCCAAATTCATGTCCATTGCATCGGTGATGCCATTTAGCCATCTCATCCTCTGTTGCCCTCTTCTCCTTCTGCCTTCAATCTTTCCCAGCATCAGGGTCTTTTCCAATGAGTTGGCTGGTTAAGGTTAAGATTTAGAAGATTCTATTTACTTTTTCGATTTACCGACCAGTCCATCCTAAAGGAAATCAATCCTGAATATTCACTGGAATAACTGATGCTGAAGCTTGGCCACCTGATGTGAAGAACTGACTCATTTGAAAAGATCCTGATTCTGGGAAAGATTGAAGGCAGGAGAAGGGGATGACAAAGGATGAGATGGTTGGATGGCATCACTGACTCAATGGACATGAGTTTGAGTAAACTGCGGGAGTTGGTGATGGATAGGGAGGCCTGGTGTGCTGCAGTCCATGGGGTCGCAAAGAGTCAGATACGACTGAGCGACTGAACTGAACTGAACTGATTTACTTTTTATTTAAAATGGTGAAAAATATTATTATTCAAATTTAATCTAAGTGCTCAGTCGTGTCCAACTGTTTGCAACCTCCTTGGACTCTAGGCTCCTCTGTCCATGGGATTCTTCAGGCACAAAATACCTAAATAAAGTGTTGTGAACGAACATGATTTGAGAACTCTGGTTCAGATTATTCTAAATTAAGTTACATTGTCAGGTTTCAATGGGACATGATTTCCAGGTTGGCATTTGCTCAGTTCCTAGCTATGTTAGAATTGTTTTTTAACCATAAAGGATAAATTGGAAAAGAAAGACTGGGAGAGGAGGAAATCAAAACAATAAAACAAATCCTAATCCAGATTCAACTTGATTAAATGGTAAACATTATAATTCTCTTTTCTATTCATTACCTTGGAAATAAGTCAGAGATGCCAGAAATATAATTATCCTTTTGGATAAAGCCTGGCCAATTGAGGGAAAAATCCAGTTTCCTTTGAATAAACAATGACTATATCCAATTTTCCAGATCTATATCCAGAAAAACAAATCAAGTTGAAAATAGCAATTGTCTGTTTCTTTGACTTCTACCAAAACAAACATTAACATACAGTATGAAATAATTAGCAAAATATTTTTAAAATAAATTTATTTTACTTTTATCTTACCCTTTTAAATTTATATTGCATTTATTTTATACTGTGTATATTTTATATCTCTATATAAATTAATATACTTTGATTAGAACAAGTGTTCAAAATATTTTTCCTGATAAAGATATGTAATTAAAAAAAATGGAGGCACCAGTTTACTACTAAATAAGTGACGAGGACTTGAGTCATTCAGGTTTGTCTTTATTTTCTCCATGGAGACTAACTTTGAGCTTTGTATGTGGTATACAATGAACAACTATTTGCAGAATTAATATTTTGTTCCTCTTACATATTTTTAAAACTATACTTTTCCATTGAGTCTATTTTTTTTTTCCAGGTTGGCATTTGCTCAGTTCCTAGCTATGTTAGAATTGTTTTTTAACCATAAAGGATAATTGGAAAAGAAAGACTGGGAGAGGAGGAAATCAAAACAATAAAACAAATCCTAATCCAAATTCAACTTGATTAAATGGTAAACATTATAATTCTCTTTTCATGGTGGGTATTTTGTGAAGTATTCTCTCCTGGATCATCTAACTTATTCCCAGAATTTTGGTAGAGTTGATTTCTATTATTTCTAAATTACCTGTGATGGATGAGTATCAAGTACTATTTTGAATATTGTTGCTAAAGGCAAAGTCATAAATTCATTATTTCCCTTGGGGAAGAAAAATACAGTGTGAAAGAGCAACGCTCAGTTTCATCAGCACCACTCCCCTCCTGCCTCACTGTGCCTCCTTGCAGTTCCTCAAACTGCTTTTTTTCTTTTTTTTCTTGCCTCAGTATTTTCACATAAATAATCCTTCTCCTGGAAAGCTCTTCTCTTCACTGTCAGGCTTACTCACCCATTCCTAAGGTCTCAATTTAAATGCCACTTTTTTCAACAAGGTCCCCACTTTTTACTCCCTTCCACTTACCCTGTACCTTTTCTTCACAGCACTTACCACGGTCTGTAATTCACAAATACACATTCTTGTTGTTCAGTCACCAAGTCGGCTCTGACTGTTTGTGACCCCATGGACTACAGCACACCGGGCCTCCCTGTCCTTCACCATCTTCACACCACACGCTAATGCGTACAAACACGTATATAACCTCCCTTGCTTTCTAGACTCTAATCTAACACTGTTTCTTTTCTCCAGCGTCTAGCACAGTGTCTGGCACAGGTGCCCCTAATACTCAATTCTTTGAAGATAATTGAATAAATACTTTGTAAATTAGATGTAAGGGAACAGCTGAGAACAATGACATTCCATAGTATTTCAGTGTTTTATGCTTCTACCTCCCTTCTCCCTATTACTACTTACCACGTGTTAAAATTCTGACTAGTCATTGTAGTATTCCGACAGGTGCAAGAATTGTTATGCAGTTGGGTGACTCCATCAGGATTATGCAAACTTTTTAAACTGCCAGTCAGCTTTTCTGTAGCAGTCTTGAATGTCTCTTCAAGAGTACCCAATGTATTCTTTAAAATCATAGACCATGTGTTCAACTGAATTGTCATCGTCATGATAGTTCCAGTATGTTGAAATAGTGGGAGGTGACTGTAGTCATCCAGACACTCACACAAAAATAATGACTTCCTCATTTCAGTCGTGGTATTTGTACTATAGGCTTCCCCGGTGGTTCAGTGATAAAGAATTCGCCTGCTAATGCAGGAGATGTGGGTTTGCCCCTGGGTTGGGAAGATCCCCTGGGGAAGGAACCCATTCCAGTATTCTTGCCTGGGAAATCCCATGGACAGAGGATCCTGGGGGGGGGAGGGGGCTACAGTCCATGGACTCACAAGAGTCAGGTGCAACTAAACAACAATTTGTACTGTATCATCATCTTTAAGTATGTCCTGCCTTGCAGCGTGACTGACAGACCACGGTTCTCTTCTTGGTCACCACAGATGTTAAATGAAAAATATATGAAGGAGAACCTAGGATAGTAAAGCGGTGGGTAAGGAAATTAATATTTATTGTCATATAGTATGCGCCACATGTGGTACAAATAACACCCTTTCATTCCATTCTCACAACAACCCTGTGAAGTAGGTATTATCCCCTTTCTACACATGAGGAATCTTTTTCTGACAATGTAGATTGTCTCTTGAATTTTCCTGTTGACATTAATTCACATTTATTTACTTTCATGTCAAGATTTTCACAACTGTATAACCCAAAATGTATACTTTGACTCAATAAATATTAATTTAATGAAAAAAGTTTCACAGTACATCATTGAATGATTGAAAATCAGAACCTACCATCCTTCTATCTCAGGTTACAGCTTTTTCTAGCGCTCCTTAAAGACATCCTGAGCTAGTAAGCACCCTCGCTGGTTTACACATTTCCTATTTATTAAACACATACACAGTCTATTCATCATCAACCCTACTGGACTCTCTGAGCTCAGTCCCCATAGTCTTATCTATCACTGTGCAGTCACTTAGTCGTGCCCAACTCTTTGTGATCCTGTGAAATGCATCACGCCAGGCTTCCCTGTTCTTCACTATCTCTCGGAGTTTGCTCAAACTCATGGCCACTGAGTCAGTGATACCATCCAACCATCTCATCTCCTCTGTCGCCCCCTTCTCCTGCCCTCAACATTTCCCAGTATCAGGATCTTTTCCAGTGAGTCAGTTCTTCACAACAAATGGCCAAAGTACTGGGGCTTCAGCTTCAGCATCGGTCCTTCCAATAAATATTCAGGGTTGAATTCCCTAGTCTAACAGGGACCAGAAAGTGAGCCTGATGGATGACATATAACCAATGTTCTTAATCATGAAATCACCCCTCCAGCTTCTACTTAGAATAGTACCAACAGGATTTACCTATCTCAGAATTAGACAAAAGGGGACTGTATTTCTCCATATAGGGTGAGCTTATATCTTACGGTGAGCTCAGAAATCTTCCTTAATGGTTCTCTTTCATCCCTGCACGAATGGACCAGAAATGGAAAACAATATGACCTTCCTCTCCCTTCTCTGTGAAGGATGGACCTTGGTCCTCATCTATATTCCTGAGAAAATAGAACCTTTCATTTTCTTCTCATCAATTTCTTTATCAACTTTCTCTTCCCTCATTTGATTCCAATTTTCTGGACCTTAACTATAGTCTAGATAAAAGCATGTTTCAAAGGAAACCAGCCTGTGGTAGGAGGGACTAACTTATCTATGCCATGTGGCCACAAAGATTGCAAATTTGTAAAAACCTCCCTTGCATCGATACTGTCCAACCCATCTACCCTATGTCTTCAGAACTGGGACAGCAGAAATGAAACTGCATTTCTCCGTCTCAAGGGTACATGGTGAGGGCAGCCTCATCCAGCATCATTTCTGGTTTCTAGGGAAATGTGTAGGAGAAGATTCAAGATCCATGTCCCATTTCTCCCTTTAACTCCCACTAAAGTCTTTGTTCTTGGAGGAACTGGTTTCAAGAGTATACGATCTCCCCAAAGTAGGTGTTGTCCCAGGACCTTCATAAGATGCTGGTGCAGTAGGAGACACTCTCCACACTGATACCCGCCACAGCTGCGTACAGTTCAGGTACCACCAACTCTGGTACTTGCAACACAGCCTTGTCATTTGCACTTTGAGCAGCAGTTTCGAGACATGAGTGTAGCTTTCGAAGTGAGGGGCGGCTGTCCTCACTCCAACGCCAGCAGGACTTCATGAGACCATACCTGAAAGGGGAACAAGAGAAACTGACTTCCTTGACAAGGCAAATGTTTGAAAATCATGCTTCTTCACTTACAAGCAACCTAGATGTCCATCAGCAGACGAATGGATAAGGAAGCTGTGGTACATATACACCATGGAATATTACTCAGCCATTAAAAAGAATTCATTTGAATCAGTTCTAATGAGATGGATGAAACTGGAGCCCACTATAGAGTGAAGTAAGCCAGAAAGATAAAGACCATTACAGTATACTAACATATATATATGGAATTTAGAAAGATGGTAATGATAACCCTATATGCAAAACAGAAAAAGAGACACAGATGTACAGAACAGACTTTTAGACTCTGTGGGAGAAGGCGAGGGTGGGATGTTTCGAGAGAACAGCATTGAAACATGTATATTATCAAGGGTGAAACAGATCACCAGCCCAGGTTGGATGCATGAGACAAGTGCTCGGACCTGGTGCACTGGGAAGACCCAGAGGGATCGGGTCGAGAGGGAGGTGGGAGGGGGGATCGGGATGGGGAAGACATGCAAATCCATGGCTGATTCATGTCAATGTATGGCAAAAACCACTACAATATTGTAAAGTAATTAGCCTCCAACTAATAAAAATAAATGGAAAAAAAAATCTTAACAAAAGAACCCTACAATTCTGTAATCTATTCGTCACCCTGTCCCATACTCTTCCCAGAGAATACTATTCCTTCTCACCTTCCTAAATACTAAATCTCTTAATATCTTAACCTTTTTTATAATAGGAATGACTGATGGCTTTTTTTTCTACTGTAACTTTTATTATGGAAAACACTGAATACACATAAGTGTAGAGAATAGTTATAGTAGTCACATGAATAATATACTAGTTAATACTAGTCAATGGTTATACTATGGGTTTCCCTAGTGGCTCAGTCAACAAAGAATCTTTTTTTTTTTACATGAATGTAAATTATTTTTTTACATGAATGTGAATTCACATGAGTTCCCTTATTCAGCATAATACTAGAATCTTCTATTTCATCTATTTATCACCTTATTCTTTTTCTTTTCCTTTTTTTTTTTTTCTAATTGGGATATAGTTGCTTTATGAGCTTCCCTCATGGCACGGATGGAGAAGGCAATGGCACCCCACTCCAGGACTCTTGCCTGGAAAATCCCATGGATGGAGGAGCCTGGTAGGCTGCAGTCCATGGGGTCTCGAAGAGTCGGACACGACTGAAGTGACTTAGCAGCAGTAGCATGGCAGAGATGGTAAAGAATCCAATACGGATTCTATCTCTGGGTCAGGAAGATCCCCTGAAGGAGGGCATGGCTACCCACTCAGTATTCTTGCCTGAAGAATGCCATGGTGAGAGGAGCCGGTCGGGCTACAGTCCATGGGGTCAATGTCATGTTGGTTTCTGTTGTACTACAGACAGTATGACAAAACAGTTTTGTTGTTTTTTCTATTACCAAAAATTCTTTCAGAAGTTAAGTGTTTTCATTCTACATATTATGAACTTGCATCATTCCAGACCACTGCTATAACTTGTCTACCAGTATGAGCTACATCACAGCAGGGGAAAATAAGAAGATATGGAATAACATGGTTCATACTAATTTCAGATACTGTAATCAGATAGTTCTTTCCATTAATCCAGGTCATTTTCTCCCTTTATTATTTAGCTTCTCCAGGAAATGGCCTTAATCTAGATAGATGTATTTACCACCTTTAATCTGTCTTTGTTGCAATCCAATTTCTAGAAAATGTGTAACACAGTCTGTTATCAAACACTCTTTATCAAGTCTCATTCCTACCCAAGAACCTACAGCAGTTGCCTACTGTTTATCTTATAAAGTTGGTAACCTACGCCCCAGCTTCTTACCACATAGGCCTTGCTTAACAGGAGCCTTCTTCTCCTCCTAAGACAACATCTGGCTATGCCCCAGACATGACTAGTAACACCCAGCTTTTTCTTTGCTTATGCTCTGCCCAAGGCATTAATATCCTCTCCCTGGTTATTCTTTCCTAATAGTATAAGTAGGAATTTTAAATTCCTTCCCTTATAACCTCAGCACACACTGTGTTTCCCACACTCTTTAATGTTGTACCATTAGATTTTGTATAAGATGTTATATTACTCTACTAATACTGATAACATTTACCAAGAACATACTTATTGTAAATGGCATGGTGGCTTAGTTGACTATTCAGTCATCTCTGACTTTGCAACCCCACAGATTGTAGCCCACCAAGCTCCTCTGTCCATGGGATTTTCTAGGCAAGAATACTAGAGCGGGTTGCCATTTCCTCCTCCATGGGATCTTTTCGACCCAAGGACCCAACCTGAGTCTCCTGTGTCTCCTGCATTGCAGGAAGATTCTTTACCCATTGAGCCATCCCAAAAGGCATGGAAGGGAAACAACATGCATTATTTCATTGCAGCCTAACAATTACTATGAGGCAGGACTATCATTTTACCTATTTTAAGTTAAGTAAACAATGTAACATATAAGACTAAGACAGAACATGTGTTTTTTTGACTATGACATGAATCTGAGCTTTTAACCAGTCTACTCATTGCTTCACACTTTCTGTTGATTTCATGTTCTTTCAGGTATTCCTTATCCAAATATTACATGCTTCAAGATAAGATACTTTTTCAGTTAAATGTCTCTGCCTATCCCCAGTATCAAGTACAGCCACACACACACACACACACACACACACACATATAAAGCCTACAAGAAATATTTGTCAATAATTTCATTCTAGTATACCCAGCCAGTATCACTATACTATGTGTGTATAAGTATATAAAGTTATGATTTTTAGCATTTTTAATATGCTTGATACAATTACTGTTTGTATTTGTGGGAAACTCAGGTGCTGGAAAGTTACCTTTTCAGTACTGAAGAATTTACAAAATAATAGCAATTTAAATAGAAATGTATATCACTATATTATCTCCTGCCGTCTTAAAAATAATTGAAGCCTTTCTTATAGTCTATAATAACCTGCTTTGTACTTTGTTGTTTATGAAATTCTGTGTGTAATTTTTAATTTTCTGCTTCTATGTTAGTTCACCAACTGTCCCTTTCTGCTGGCAATTTGATATCTTCCTTCTGCTGTCTAATTTCTTCTGTCTTTCTTCTGATGGGCTTCCAACATGCTTAGAACCAGGAAAATATTTTTTAAAGTTAAATATCAAATAAGAACCAGTGAGTAACTGTGGATTTTATGACAACTCTATTAGAACTGAAGCTGGTAGTCTTTGAGACTGACATTTATATAGCTAAAACAGTGTTGTACCTGCATTTGATTTCGTGTTTTGCAAGATTCCAGAGGAACTAAGCTTTAACAATGTTAACAAATCTAAATTTCTAATATAGCATTCAGTGGCTGCCTCCATATTGTGTATTTGTGTTTGTGTGTGTGCATGTATACACACACACACACACACACACACACACACACACAAATGTAAAGACTCATATACACATATATATGAGCACATGTATTTTCTGCATAGGTTTGGTTTAAGGTTGTACCTTAGCACATAGAGGACAGCTGAGGATCATCTCAGCCACTTTACAAAGGGCATGACTGATAAAGAGTAAAAAAGATTTTAAAAGCCACTTACATGGTATGTGTGCAACTACTGGGTCTCTCCATGATTTGCCCTCTTTGGAGATGCTGTAGGATATTGGTAGGAGGGACCTCAGGATATGGAGGTGCTCCTGTTGGTATGGAAAGAGTGAGACGAGTAAGACAACTTTAGGGTCTTCTAGAATATAAACTATAACTAACACTATTCTCCATCCACCTGGGCTAATCACCTAAAAAAGTAGGAAACCTAATCGGTATAATATAGTTGATCCCTGATGATCAGATAAGGGTATAACTTGGAGAATTTTGGAGAAAGGAGATGTTGGGGGAGGGAGACCTGATAATTTAGGAAAATGTCAAGTCTTTAGGAATGTAACAAAATAAAGCAGAGCTGCCAATGAGAAATAAGATCTGCCCTCTACTTCTCAAACAAGAGAAAGTGCTGCAGTTTCTCAGTCAAATGGATTAATAAATCTAAAGACAGCATTTTTATATTTATGCACGATCAGCCTAGGGGCTTCCCAGGTGGCGCTAGAGGTAAAGAATCCACCTTCCATTTCAGGAAACTCAAGAGATGTGGTTTCGATCTCTGGAATGGGAAGATCCTCTGGAGAAGGAAATGGCAACCCTTTCCAGCAAGAATTTGCCTGAAAAATTCCATGGACAGAGGAACCTGGCAGGCAACAGTCCATGGGGTTGCAAAGAGTCGGACATGACTGAGCAACTGAGCACACACGAGATCATCCTTGGAATACTCGTTGGATTTTAAAATGTGCCAAGGAATTGGTAAAGTCTTGGGGGAAAGAAAGAGGAAGGAGGGAGACAGGAAGGGAATCATGACTTTATAAGACTATCTCAAAAATCAAGCTTGGATTCTGAAAATGTGTCAGCTCAGTTCGATCTTCAGCAATTGTACTGAAACCCCTTTTCACAACAAATGTCATCTACCACACAAATAAACATCCTTGCATATTTCTATAGGGGTGCACACTACTTTGGGGATTCTCCTTACCTAGAGTCACCATCTCGTATAGCAGGATCCCAAAAGACCAGCTGTAAAAGAAACAAAGCTGTTTACTTCATTTTTATTTCTGCCTTTCATAAAGATAGCTCACTTAAATACCAGAGACCTTCAGTAAGAAACCCATGACAATGGCAGTGAATGGGAATCAAGGGTGATTGGTAAAATAAGCCATTGGTACAATAAGCCATTATTATATAATGGCATAATAGTTATGCCATTAGAAAATATTTCTGTCCAGTCCCCTTAGAATCTTATTTGCTTGAGAGATCGATTTATGTCTCCTTTCTACACATTAATAGATATTTACTATTATTTGTTAAATATTACATATGAATAGATATTACACATTCATAGGTATTTACACATTAATAGATATTTACTCTTATTTGTTAAATGCTGTGAGTGCTTATGCAAATGCAAACATATTCACTCAAATATATAAAAATCCCCCTGTGTATCTTTTTCATCTTTGCCATTCCTTCCTGCTGAAATTCCAGCTTTTATTCTTAGTTTAAGGCCAAGCAGGGTTTATCATTTATCTACTATTTCCTCAGTGGATCTAATTGCCCAAACTTAGGTAAAACATTAACAGAGCAAGTTTTATACATAAATGGGGTAGGTAGTTGCCTAAACAATGTGATTTGAGAAACATATGTTTCATTATTCTACAGCATCATTGTAAAATGAGCAGTATCTCCCAAGGAAGTTTATTACTTCCAGACCTCTATTGAAAAGCAGATATCAGTGAAACAGCAATGAAATGAAAAATCAGTGTCTTAATTGATTCACCACATTAACTGATGTTCTAAATTTCCCCTGAAGTGCCTAACATTCATGGCTGGTAAGATATTTTGTATTACACCTACCTGCTCCTCCAAGCAGATGAGTCATATGGTTACCAAAAGTCAATTGTAATTCTTTAGAATCCTGTTTATGCCAATCATACATGTAACTATAACTACATAATCAATTAAATACTATGTAGGTTGATTAAATATGCATGCCAAAAGCCTTAGATCCCTGAAAACTAGGTTGAATGCTTTGAAAACATTCTCTAAAATCAAGCCACTAAAAAGAGAGTGTTGTCAAACTGTGTGAGTGAGACAACTGTAGAAAACTGGGGGAAAATTAACAATAAACGTCTGCAGTCAAACTGCATCACAATTGTTTTATACAAGAAATACAACATGTAACTTCATTTAGCATAGCACGTGTATCCTCTTGGCCTTCCTCTGAAAGACTGATAAATAAATATCCATTTATATGTTTTAAGTTAAAATAAATTGAGTATGTAAATACTGGGGCAGGAACAAACCGTACATGTCTCCTTTGATGCCAGCTGGTTTCAGCAGAAGCCGTTCCGGGGCAAGCCACTTGAGAGGTACGACATGAGTGGAGGAGATGGCCCCTCGGGAGAGAACTTCATAAGCCAGGCCCAGCCCGCAGAGCTTAGCAGTGAGGTCACACTGGATTAGAATATTCCTGGCTGCCACATCGCCATGGAACAGACGCTTCTCCTGGAGAAATTCCTGTCAACGTGAGGTCAAAATGGATCAGTTCTCTGAGGTCATGGCTTGGATCCAAGGTAGAGTGAAGCAGATCCTCAAAAAGACATTTTCTACCCTGAACAAGCTGCATCAATAATGACATATCCATTCTCCCCCAAACTCCCTCCCATCCAGGCTGCCACATAACAATGAGCAGAGCTCCCTGGGCTCTACAGTAGGTCCTTGTTGGTTATCCATTTTAAATATAGCAATATGTATTTATATGGCTGAGTCCCTTTGTTGCCCACCTGAACCTATCACAACATTGTTCATCAATTATGCTGCAATACAAAATAAAAAGTATAATTAAAAAAAAAAGAAGAATGTCACATCCATACAGGTACTAAGTGGCAGTGACCAGAACCAACTATTCTAATTCTAAAGAGCACAATACTTATAATGAATCAGACATGTTTGCATTGTGTTTAAGATCAACAAACTGATACCAGAAATTCATTCTTTTAAAAAAAATTAAAACTTTATTTTTTTTTATGAGCTGTTTTAGGGTGAAAACAAAGTTGAGTGGAAAACCCAGAGCACTCATGCCTCCTGCCCCTCAGTTTCCTCTATTATTAACAACTTGTACCACTGTGATACATTTGTTACAGCTGATGAACCTATGTGCTCAGTTGTGACTCTGCAACCCATGGATTGTAGCCCACCAGGCTCATCTGTCCATGGGATTTCCCAGGCAAGAATCCTGGAGTGGTTTGCCATTTCATCCTCCAGGAGACCTTCCTGATACAGGGATCAAACCCAAGTCTCCTCTTGGAATCTTCTGCATTGGCAGGCAGATTCTTTATGACTGTACCATTTGGGAAGCCCTGTGTGCTTAGTCGCTCAGTTGGGTCCGACTCTTTTTGATCCCATGGACTGTAGCCCTCCAGGCTCCTCTGTCCATGGGATTCTCCAGGCAAGGATACTGGAGTGGGTTGCCAGGCCCTCCTCCAGGGGATCTTCCTGACTCAGGAATTGAACCAGAGTCTCCTGCATTGCAGGCAGATTGCTTACCAGCTGAGCTACCAGGGAAGCCCTATACAGGTACACTGTTTTCAACTGGAGTCCAGAGCATACAAAAGGGTGCACTTTTTGTGTTGTATTCTCTGGGTCTGACATTGATCCATACATTTCTGATACATTGATCTACCCTTTTTATTTTTGAAGACAAATTTATTAGTAAATATACTAGCTTTGCTTTAAACAAACAAACCAAGAGTAGCAAAGTGAGCAGATAAGCCAAATAATATTCATATTGGGTTTGGAAAATAAAATCTCATATTCTGACTCTGGCCCTGGCCTGATTTCACATTTTTCTGAAATGCTGGGCTGGAGGAAGNTGATGTTGAAGCTGAAACTGCAATATTTTGGCCACCTGATGTGAAGAGCTGACTCATTTGAAAAGACCCTGATGCTGGGGAAGATTGGGGGCAAAAGGAGAAGAGGGCAGCAGAGGATGAGATGGTTAGATAGCATCACCAACTCAATGGACATGAATCTGAGCAAACTCTGGGAGATAGTGAAGGAGGGGGAAGCCTGGCATGTTGCAGGCCATGGGGTCACAAAGAGTCAGATACAACTTAGTGACTGCACAACAATAACAATACGTGGCAAAACTGTCACAATAGTAAATTTATATACAATCTTACATCAGTTCGTTTTGTTGCTAAAGTAACTACATGAGGTAAGTTAGGGAAGTAGCTTTCCGATAAATCTAAATGATTACACAAGGCCACATTAAGTGACCAAAGCCAGGTATTCTAATTCATAGGAAGTATTACAAATTCTACGAAAACTTTTTAGTCCAGAAGTGAAAACCCACTCCAGTATTCTTGCCTGAAAAATCCCATGAAGAGGGGATCCTGACGGGCTACAGTCCATGGGGTCATGAAGTCGGGCACAACTGAGCTACTGAGCATGCACGCAAATCACAACTACCTGAAAGCTTTATAAACTCACAAGGTTTTAACTCTGGATTTACTTAACCAAAATCTAGGGAGAGGAGCCTGATAATCCATATTTTTAAGAAGTATCAAAATTATTCCAGCACAACCAAGAAGGTGTTTGAGAACCAGCGCAACTGGATGACACTGATAAGACACGTGGGATCCTAGTTCCCTGGCCAGGGATCAAACTCGTGTCCCTTGTATTAGAAGTGCAGAGTCAACCACCGGACCACTAGGGGAAGTCCCTATTTAGGTTAGTTTAAAATAAAGAAATGATCTCATTTTCACCCCTTTCTTATTCCTCCTCTTCCACTTGTTCTTTGTTCTTTTTCAAGTATATACAATTCCTGTCACATTCAGCATTACAGCAAGTCTCCTACCTAACACATTCTGAGCTAGTATTTCTTGTTCTTTAGGTATAAACATCCTCCTGTCTCTGTAGCCTTTCACCCATTTGTTTTCTCTTCCCAAATCTTCTACTAGCTTATCTTATCTTTTCCTCTTTTACATCTGGTAACAGGGAAGTATGAGAAGGGGGCAGCAAAGAATGAGGTGACTAGATAGCATCACCGACTCAATAGACATGAATTTGAGCAAACTCTGGGAGATAGTGGAAGACAGAGGAGCCTGGCTGGCTACAGTGCATACAGCTGCAAACAATCAGACACGACTGAGTGAACAACATGTGAACATATAGCTCTTGGCCCTGGTGCTTTTACCTTTAAGACTGAGAAAACTTTTAAAACCCTTCTTGGGATTTCCCTGGTGGTCCAGTAGTTAAGATTCTGTGCTTCACAGGGCACGGGTTTGATCCCTGGTCAGGGAACTAAGATCCCACATGCCTCATGGTGTGGTCAAAAAAAACTTATTTTTTAATGAACAATAAAAGAAATAAAACCCTTCCTGTTTCTTCTAGAAACCCTAAATTGACCACTTTCTACCTAGAATTACCAATCCTGAATTATATTATCTAAATAATTTCATAAAGAGAGAATTGAAAACTATTTATCAGTGCTTGAGTTTCTGCCCCCTAACTTCCATCCGATTTCATTTATAATATATACCCCATTTGAGAACATAATATGAGAAATATGACATTAAATACCAGGCTAACAAAAAAGATCACTGCCATCTGTTGTCACTTCTCCAAGCCTTACCAAAGCCAAAAGGACCTGCTTCCCAATGTGATATATTTGTTTCTCTGTGAGGTCATAGGGAAGACCATCCATGGTCATCACATCCTAGAGAGATAAAGAAAAAGCATTACATCAAAATGACATGAACAGATCTAAAGGAAAAAATAGGGAAAGAAATATTCTTAAATGCTGTTACTGAAGCGAGGGCAAAGACACAAAAATATAAGGACTTGGGAATTCCCTTGGCAGTCCAGTGGTTAGGAACCCACACTTTTACTGCAAAGGGCCTAGGTTTGATCCCTTGTCGGGGAAGTTAGATCCCACTAACCACGTGGCACAGCCAAAAATAAATAAATAAAAATTTAAAAACTAAAAAATGTACAAAAGCTAAAAGATTCAAGGAGAGATGGTATGAGAGATTCCCAGGTATGCAGAGAAGTGCCATGATTTACTGGACCAGGAAAATAATAAAGAATGTAGGTGAATAGCAGAATGAAGGAAGAACAGAATTTGTCAGGCTAATTAGTATGTGCACAGCTAATCAACCAGGTCAAGCCTTTCTTCCTAGTCAGGCTAACTGGTACGTGCACAGCTTATTAACCAGGTCAAGCCTTTCTTCCTAACACCTGTGCCCCACTGCTCACCCGGCGACAGGTCCAGAGAAAGCTGAGCAGGTCTCCCTGGGCCACATCCTCCAATACCATGTAGAGCGGCAGCCTGTCTGTGCAGCAGCCTTCCAGCTGTACCAGGTTCTTGTGCTTCCCCAAGTACTGATAGAATTGGATTCGCCCTAAGAAATCCTGCACCTCTTGGAGCCCAGTTGGTTCTGTGGGGGACAGAAGAACCAGGCGGAATGAGTAGTCAGTGTCACCAATAAAGTGGGGAGTATGAGGCAGGAAGCAACCTCGGATGGTAGGTTTCAAGATCCCAAAGGGGAATGAGCATAGACCAAAAGTAAACAGAAAGGGAATCAATTAGATGATCTTCGATGTCACTGTTCTTTTATCAAAGGTAACATAGAACCACAGTTCTTCAGAACTAATTAGACTTTCCTCTGCCTAATAGAAAACTGTTTTGTTTACATTAAAATATTATCACACATACTGTTTTCTTGTTGTCTAGTCACTAAGTTATATCTGACTCTTTTGGGACCTCATGGACTGTAGCCCACCAGGCTCCTCTGTCTATGGGATTCTGCAGGCAAGAATACTGGAGTGGGTTACCATTTCCTTCTCCAGGGGATTTTTCTGACCTAGGGATTGAACCTGTTTCTCCTGCATTGCAGACAGATTCTTTATTGCTAAGCTATGTGGAAACCCCTGGCTATAACATATATATTAATATTTTGTTGAAGGAATAGAAAACTAATGGTCAATATGTATATAGGTTCAAATTTGATGATTCTCATTTGACACCTAAAGAATGACTTTCCGACAGAGCTCTATAGATTTGAAGAATAAGGAATCCAGGATGGTGTGCAGGTTACAAATATGTGTGACTACTACACAGATTAAGCTGAGGTGACAACCTCCCAAACCTCAATGTTCTAAACCAAGAAAAGATCTGTGTTCCATTGCTTTCTTAAAGCACTTTGTTTCTGTTTTATTTGCTTGTTTTCTTTTGTTTGCTGGAGAAACTGTTTATTGTCCCTTCTGCTTTTAATTACATTCAATAAAAATAGCAATGATAAAAATAGTATCACACATTAAAATATTATCACTTCTAGACCTTTTTTGTGCAGAAGTTCGCAGAAGGCTTTCCACCGAGGTCTCCTCAAGTGGTACAAACACAGTTTTCCCAGGTCCTGCTGCTTCCTGGCTTAGGTTCCCAGATAGAGGTACATGGGCAACACCTAAAGCAAAGAGGTGACACCAACCAGCTTTTTCCTGGTCCCAGGGACTCCAGGAAATCAGAACCACAAATAAACCACCAAGAAGTCCCTTCAGGAATTTTCTCTCTTGGGTCAAGGTGAGGTACCTTCAGGTGCTTCTCTATGAACCAGCATCAAGACAAACCTTGTAGAATATATGTCATAATCCCATTACTTCTAAGGCAACTCAAGATGGACCTCTGAAAATTGGTAAAGACATTTCTGTTCAGTCTTTCTCAGAATTCCAGTTCAGTATGAGTAGAGTCTAGAGACAATTCAAAAAGCTACTGAATAGATCTTCAAACCATGGACACCTAAAGGTGGTGGTAACTGCCAGGGGAACTATCATTTGAGTCAATAAAATGACTTTCAGGGGTGAAATAGAGAGATGGATAAGTATTCAACTCTAAGCTAAAGTTATTCTTCTTCCCTCAAGTTGTCCCCAAAATCAAATTATTCCACATTTCCCAGAGTCTCAATCAAGAAAGTCTTAGATTTCCCTAGCAGTTCAGTGGTTATGGGCTTCCCTCATAGCTCAGTCAGTAAAGAATCTGCCTGCAATGCAGGAGACCTGGGTTAGATTCCTGGGTGGGGAAGATCCCCTGGAGAAGGAAATGGCAACCCACTCCAGTATTCTTGCCTGGAAAATCCCATAGACAGAGGAGCCTGACTGGCTATAGTCCATGGAGTCACAAAGAGTTGGACATGAGTTAGTGACTAAACAACAACATTGAAATCAGTGAGCCTGGAACCAAGTGAGACAATAAGAGGGTTATAGGAGATGAGGCCAGAGAGGACTCTGATCATGTAAGGCCACTGAAAGAATTTAATCTATTTTTCATTCTAAGATAAGAAGCTACTGGAGGTTTCATGCAGAGAATTAACAGGGCTCGCTTAGGCCTTAAAAGAATCATTCCACTGCTCTGAGGAGAACAGACCATAAAAGGATACAGGCAGAAGCAGGGAGACTAGGTAACGGTGTATTACAATTTTCTCTGAGAGGTGAGGGTGACTTGAGTCTATTTTGAAGGTACAGTTAAACAGGATTTGCTAATAGATTGGATACAGAATGTGAGAGAAAGAGGAGGCAAGGACATCTTCAAATTTCATTTAGACTTCATTTTATTGATTTTTTAAAAAATTTTTTAGACTTCATTTTAGATTGAACACATAGCGAGCTGGGCTTGCTATTTATTATGACAGGGAAGACTATGAAAAGGAAATTGTGAGGGAATTTCAGGACTTTTGTTTTACATATGCTATATATTTTAACTGTGGTGTTGGAGAAGACTCTTGAGAGTCCATTGGACTGCAAGGAGATCAAACCAATTAATCCTAAAGAAATCAATCCTGAATATTCATTGGAAGGACTGTTGCTGAAGCTGAAGCTCCAATTCTTTGGCCACCTGATGTGAACAGCCGACTCATTGGAAAAGACCCTGATGCTGGGAAAGATTGAATGCAAAAGGAGAAGGAGTTGACAGAGGATGAAATGGTTAGATAGCATCACCAACTTAATGGACATAAACTTGAGCAAACTTGGGGAGATAATAGAAGACCAGGAAGCCTGGCATGCTGCAGTCCATGGAGTCACAAAAAGTTGGACATGACTTAGTGACTCAACAACAACAACAAATAAGAAAATTAGGATACAATTTAGAGAAGGAGAAGGGACCCACTGCTCTAGAGATTCATATCCCTGTCAGGAAATTTTTCCCTTCTTTTTTCTCTAAGTTTTCCATTCAAGCTGACTCTCTTTCATCATATGCTCAGTGATACTCCAGAATAGCATGTTATCATCTCCTACCAAGTGCTTCAGAGACTATTATGGGACTTCCCTGGTGGTCCAGTGTTTAAGAATTTGCCTACCAATGGAGGGGATATGGGTTCAATCCCTGATCCAGGAAGATTCCATATGTCACAGGGCAACTAAGCCCATGTGCCACATTTTCTGAGCCTGAGTGCCCTACAGCCCATGTTCCACAACAAGAGAAATCACAGAGTAAGTCCGTGCATCACGATGAAGAGTAATCCTTGCTGGCCAAACCTAGAGAAAGCCCAGGAGCAGCAATGAAGAACAGCACAACCATAAATAAATACATTTTAAAAAATCACTTGAAAAGAAAAGACTAAGGCTACTCCTTTACATCCGAAATTCCATAAGCACAAAGTAGGGGTGGAATGTATTATAGAGTAAAATGTCATCCTTCAAAGCTCATTACAAAGCTTTTGGCTTTATCCCCAGGCTTCCTCCCCAGTCCTTAGACACTCACATGGCTAAAGATTTGATGGTACAATAGGACAAAGAAGACAGAAAGAGGTTACATGAGGCCTCTCTCACCTTCTCTTCTTTCAGCTAACAAGAAATTATGAAATTTCTTGTTGTATGAGTATATGAAATTCATATATTGAATTTCAATTCACGGATCCCTAAGAAAGGCTCACCTGCTCCTCTCAACTCCACAGGAGGGGACTCATACCCTCTATCTCATCAGAGTCCTTGAGATTTGAGCTCACTGAAGCTTGGGTCTTCTTTCCTACCATCTCCATCTTTCCCAAGTCACTGCCCAGCCTGTTTGAATCTTACCTCGAGGTCCTGGAGACTGCTGTTGGGCTCTCTGTTCTCTGATAAAAAGCCACAGGATGATGCCAAGGAGGATGAGGAAGGTACCAACCAGGAAGGTAGGGATGATGATGATTTCATACTGCTGTTCCTGGATAACTAGGTAGGAGATCAAGCAAGAAAAGATTGAAGAAGCAGCCTAACCGGGCTCCCCCTCCCCATGAGTCTTCAGCTCACTGTATGTGACATGATTATCTCTTCCTTCTGAACCCTCTACCACAACTGAGATCAGATCCCTGATCTGAATCCCTATGCCCGTTTCTCAGCTCAGCAAGTATATCCTGTGCCTCCTCTCTCATTTTTCCTGCTGAGATGAAAAGGCAGCACATCTTTATCTCTGATTGCCACTCTCCCCCACCCTGCCCACCTCCTTCAGAGACAATGGTCCTTAGCACCAATTCCTTTCTCACACTCTCTTCATTTTATTAGAAATCAAATGATCTTTCTTCCAGAATCTCTTCAGATCTTGTGCATGCATGCTAAGTCACTTTAGTTGTGTCTGACTCTGTGCGACCCTATGGACTGTAGCCCACCAGGCTCCTCTGTCCATGGGATTCTCCAGGCAAGAATACTGGAGTGGGTTGTCATGCCCTTCTCGAGGGAATCTTCCCAACCGAGGGATCAAACCCATGTCTCTTATGTCTCCTGCCTTGGCAGGTGGATTGTTTACCTCAGCTGTCACCTAGGAAGCCCTATTCTGAAGCCCTTTTTAGATCTTAATCTCCATCAAAAAATCAGAGGATGGATTTCTGTATCATCTGTACTTACTACACAACTTGTCACTGAGACTGCATTCCAACAGCATCCGCATCACGCCCCTCTCACTTCCCATCACAACGCAGTGGTCCACTCCAGTGCTTGACCCCTTGAGGATGCACAGAATGATTCCCAAGGCCTGAGTTGTTCTGAAAAAAATAAAATGGAGCACACAGAACTTTAAAACACCTCTCCAGATCACTGGTTATTAAGTATCTGGCTACCTGGAACTCTGAGCCACCAATTCATCTATCTATCTATCTGATGTTCAAACAGGAAGAAATTGTTTCTTCCTGCCATTTTCCTTTTATACAGCTATCTAGCCCTGATCTGGTCTGATCCTTTCATGCTGTTGTTTCTCAAATTATTTTAAAGGCTCCCCTCCTGCCCTAGACTCCTGCTCTGATTGTCAGGTTCACAAATGATGTAAAATTGTGGTCCATGGGAACAGATGTGGGAAAGATTTATCTCCCTAGCAGTCCTTAAGCAGGTCTAATTTTCTTTTTCTTTGTATCTCCTAATTTTTTAAACAAAACACTTAATTTCAGTTTTATACAAACCTAATTCAGACCATGAACAAACAGTTGGTGGATTTCAAGAGAGATGAGTTATACATTTGCTTTCCTTCTCTAACATACCCCTACACTGCATTCTCACTACTAATGAGCAGATAGCAGCTATCAATAAAACTATTTAGTTTTGCAGCTCCCGAAGCTCCTCTGTTCTTCATATAAAGATAGACACAGACCCTCATTCTTACCAGTGTACAGGTTAAAGAAAGTGTCAGTGCTAAGCTGTCTTCTCTTTTTTTAAACAAAAAGGAAATACATTCATATGATTCAAAAATAACACTACAAAATGGTATACTATGAAAATCTTTTCTCCGCCCCATCCTTCTCGGTCTATCCAGTTCCCAATTCTCCTTCAAGGAGACTATAGTTACAAGTTTCTTGTTAATGTGGCCAGAGATTCTTTATATATTTGTACTCTACACAATCAGCATATGTTATGTTTAGTCACTCAGTCATATCCAACTCTTTGCAACCCCATGGATTGTAGCCTGCCAGGCTCCTCTGTTCATGGAGATTCTCCAGGCAAGAATACTGGAGTGGGTTGCCATGCCCTCCTCCAGATATAATTCCATATTATCAGCACATAGTTCCAAAAATGCAGTCTTTTCTTTCTGAAGAGAACTGGTGGTTACCACTTTTGCATATATGTAAAAACTTAATTTTGCCCTTGGTTAACCTGATTCTGTGGCCAGCAAAGCCACCTTCTTTAATTCTGATTGATCTGAAACAAATATGCTGATTTCCCACTGCCTAGGTTAACTCTAAACAGATGCCTAGTTCTGTAAAGATTTAATTACAAGGTAAAATTTAGAAAATCAGAATTGTAGCTTATATGATAAATACTATATTGTACAGTATGACTTTAGTCATTTTATGCTCCCTCCTGTTACATCACATGTTTTGCTTTATTATTGATACTGCTTGCATGTGTGCTAATTCACTTAAATCGTGTCTGACTCTGTGTGACCCTATGGATTGAAGTCCTCCTGGCTCTCCTCTGTCTGTAGCATTCTCCAGGCAAAAATACTGGAGTGCATTGCCCCACCCTCCTCCAAGGGATCTTCCTGACCCAGGGATCAAACTCATGTCTCTTACATCTCCTGCATTGGCAGGTGGGTTTTTTACCTCTAGCTCCACCTAGGAAGCCCTATTATTGATACTAATAACCACTAATACCCTGTATCATGCATCGAACCTGGACTGGCGATTCATTTCACATATGATAATTTACATGTTTCAATGCCATTCTCCCATATCATCCCATCCTCACCCTCTCCCACAAGTCCAAAAAACTGTTCTATACATCTGTGTCTCTTTTGCTGTCTCACATACAGGGTTATCATTAACATCTTTCTAAATTCCATATATATGCATTAGTATACTCTATTGGTGTTTTTCTTTCTGGCTTACTTCACTCTTTATAAAAGGCTCCAGTTTCATTCACCTGATTAGAACTGATTCAAATGTATTCTTTCTAATAGCTGAGTAATATTCCATTGTGTATATGTACCACAGCTTCTTATCTATTCATCTGCTGATGGACATTTAGGTTGCTTCCCTTTTCTCCACACCCTCTCCAGCATTTATTGCTTGTAGACTTTTGGATAGCAGCCATTTTGAGTTTACTTTTGTGTATGGTGTTAGAAAGTGATCTAGTTTCATTCTTTTACAAGTGGATGACCAGTTTCCCCAGTACCACTTGTTAAAGAGATTGTCTTTTCTCTTGTATATTGTATTGTATATTCTTGCCTCCTTTATCAAAGATAAGGTATCCATAGGTGTGTGGATTTATCTCTGAGTTTTCTATTTTATTCCATTGATCTATATTTCTGTCTTTGTGTCAGTACCATACTGTCTTGATGACTGTGGCTTTATAGTAGAGGCTGAAGTCAAGTAGGTTGACTCCTCTAGTTCCATTCTTCTTTCTCAAGATTGCTTTGGCTATTCAAGGTCTTTTGTATTTCCATAGAAATTGTGAAATTATTTGTTCTAGTTCTCTGAAAAATACTGTTGATAGTTTAAGGGATTGCATTGAATCTATAGATTGCTTTGGGTCATATACTCATTTTCACTAAATTGATTCTTCCAATCCATGAACATGGTATATTTCTCCATCTATTTGTGTCCTCTTCGATTTCTTTCACCCGTGTTTTATAGTTTTCTATATATAGGTCTTTTGTTTCTTTAGGTAGATTTATTCCTAAGTATTTTATTCTTTTTGGTGCAACGGTGAATGGAATTGTTTCCTTAGTTTCTCTTTGTTTTCTCATTGTTAGTGTATAGGAATGCAAGGGATTGAGACTGGTGTACTGGGATGACCCAGAGAGATGGGATGGGGAGGGAGGTGGGAGTGGGGTTCAGGATGGGGAACACATGTACACCCATGACGGATTCATGTCAATGTATGGCAAAACCAATACAATATTGTAAAGTAAATAAATAAATAAACAAAACTGGAAGAAAAAAAAACCACTAATACCTTATTGAGGCAGAGTGTCTCAGTTCTGGAAACACATATGCAAAGAAACCTCCCAGTCAGTTGAATCTTCTTTTCACTCTTTCTGGAGCTCCATGAGTTTGTCTGAGGGAATGAAAATTAAACAGTTTCCTTACAACTCAGAAGACAGGCAGGTGAGTGACTGGTTGACAGAAGCCTAAGTCAACAGAGGAGCAGGCAGGAGGAACATCTCAGAGAGAAAAGGAAAGTCTTATCTGTGGGCTTGCAAATAGCGAGGGATCTATGAAGATAATGAATTGTAAGATAGCAAAGTCCCTCTCATCTAGTTTGTGAGGCAAAAAGGCAAGGTGAGAGTTCCCACAATTCCATAAGATCACTTGAAAGGGAAAACACTCTGCAAGAAACAGCAAGCCTTGAGAGGGTGGAGAGAACAAGTTCCTAAAAATAAAACATTAGCTCAGCCAAGACAACCAAACATAATTTGAAAACGTCATTCTGATTCTTATTTCCCTTTCTACTTACTTCCTTTTTGGTGCATTATCAGAGGTAATTATTTTTATTCAGGGAGCAGCCAGTTAAACAAGTTTGACTCTGGGAAGTCAGTTCTGTGAGCACCTCTCTTACCAGATACAGGAGGAAGAAAGGGGCAGGTGACAGCCAGCTCCAGCTAGTGAACTCTGCCCAGAAACCAAACTACACACCCGCTGACACATACTTGAGCACAAAACATAAAGTTCTGTGTGTGTGTCCCCATGTAGAGTTGCTCAGGGTGGAAACTCCCAATGACAACACATAGCCATGCACACCTGTGTCCAAAGACCCAAGTCCATGCTCATACCCTTTCACTTAGACGTCACACTTATACAAAGCATTCACCTTTGGATGCAACGTGACTTTCTATTTCATTTCCAGAGCAAGGTTCTCACCATCAGTCTTATTTGATCAGCCCTTAGACAGTTTAAGGGCTTCCTAGGTGGCACTAGTGGTAAAGAATCCATCTGCCAGTGCGGGAGACAGANTTCACTTAGACGTCACACTTATACAAAGCATTCACCTTTGGATGCAACGTGACTTTCTATTTCATTTCCAGAGCAAGGTTCTCACCATCAGTCTTATTTGATCAGCCCTTAGACAGTTTAAGGGCTTCCTAGGTGGCACTAGTGGTAAAGAATCCATCTGCCAGTGCGGGAGACAGACGGGCAAGAGATGTGGGATCAGTCTCTGGGTCAGGAAGATTCCCTGCAGGAGGGCATGACAACCCATTCCAGTATTCTTGCCTGGAGAATCCCTTGGACAGAGGAGCCTGGCAGGCTATAGTTGATGGGGTCACAAGGAGTTGGACACAACTGAGTGACTTAGTCCAGCACACACAGCACAGAGTTTAAAGATGCAGCCCAATAACAGGTAGCAATCAGATGAAATTGGACACTGGAGCAAGGAGATAAACCTATATTCTGTTGTTGTTTAGTTGCTAAGTCGTGTCCGACTCTTTGAGACCCCATGGACTATAGCCCCCCAGGCTCCTCTGTCCATGGGAATTTCCCAGGCAAGAATACTGGAGTGGGTTGCCATCTCCTTCTCCAGAGGACCATCCTGACCCAGGGATTGAACCTATATCTCCTTCATTGGCAGGCAGATATTTTGCCACTGAGCCATCAGGGAAGTCCAATAAGATATATAGGGAAAGATATATATATATACATATGTATATGTATATACATTATAGGAAATTAAAATAGGAGTTGGCTCACAAGGCTACGGAGGCTGAGAAGTCCTACAGTCTGCCACCTGCAAGTTGAAAACCAGGAAATCTGAGGCCGTAATTCAACCTGAGGCTGGAGGCCAGAAAACAGGGGTTACAGGGTCTGAACTCCAGATTCTCCTTATGCCAACATCACATGGTCATCACTGAAGCTTTGCAGTATGTTTTAAAATAATTAAGTTGCAGGGATTCCCTGGTGGTCCAGTAGTTAGGACTCAGCACTTTCACTGCCAAGGGTCTGGATTCCATCCCTAGTCAAGGAACTAAGATCCTATAAGCTGCTCAGTGTGGCCACCCTCAAAAAAATTCAAATTATTAACTCTGAGTCCTACAGTGTTCTCTTTTTGAAGATTGTTTTGCATATTTTCAATCCCTTGTGTTCCTTTTTAAATGAAATTTAGAATCAACCTGACCATCCCTAAAAAAAAAAAAATCTGGAATTGTGGCAGAGACTACATTGACTGCATCTATCAACTTGGGAAGATTGTTGTCTTAACAATATTGAGTCTTCCTACTTCCTATTGGATGTCTTTCCATTTATTCTGTTATTGCTTCATTTTCTTCATTGATATTTTGGAATTTTCAGTGTACCAGTCTCATTTGCTATTGATAGCATTTACAGTTCCATGGCCTTGAGAGGATAATTAGAATCTGTGTATGATTGGGAGATACCACTGAAAGTTCTGTCTCTGAGAAAATCAGTTCTAGAACAGGTTGGACAGTACATGCCTCCTACAGGCTGGCCAGACATGCCATATATAAGATAATAGCAGTCCACAACTGATCTTTCTCATATCTGGATAATGATGGAGACTATAGAGCACCACTTCCTGTGGCTCTCAAGGTCAGAAACCAGTTTCTTTTTTTTTTTTTACTGTCCTGAGTTGGTTTAAATTTCTTAGGTTGCAATGAATTGGTGGGACTAGAGAGGGTATCCAAAGAATCACAGCTCTAAATTCCTACCAACAGGGACTAAAGACTTCACCTTCCAATGCAGGGGGTGCAGGTTTGATCCCTGGTCAGAGAACTAGATCCCATATGCCACAACTAAGTTTCTTGCCACAACTAAAAGGTCCATGTGCCACAACTAAGACCTGGTGAAGTCAAATAAACAACAAATATTTTTTAAATGAATAAATAAATTGCTTTCCAGATGTTTTTACAATAAGCTCTTTCCAATGATTACACTTTGGCCAGAGAAATCTATAATATACCAAATAAATGTATATAATTTTTAAGGAATGCACACCTATAATACTCATATATCCATGAAAGCCTACAGGAAACTTTACCACACAAAGCCTACCAAAGCACTCAGATCACAAAATTCTTATATTCACTTGTAACAATAGTATTTCTCTCTACATCATTTTTGTCTCTGCAATTCTCTCTGAATACTAATACATAAATTCCTTGGTGGTTCAGTGGTGAAGAATCTGCTTGCCAGTGCAAGAGATGCAGGTTCAATCCCAGGATTTGGAAGCTCCCCTGAAGAAAGAAATGGCAACACATTCCAGTATTTGCACCTGGAGAATCCAATGGACAGAGGAGCCTAATGGGCTACAGTCCATGGGGCCACAAAGAGTGGGACACAACTCAGGAACTAAACAATATTCAATTATCACCTGACTTTGCTTGCCCATTCTGTGTCAATCTAGGAAGAGTTACAGCTGGATGCCAAACCTCCTGGGATGACCCTTCCTGTGGGTCCAATTCTTACCCATCTGACTATTAGAAGAATGTTCTAAATTTGTGACCAAACTCTGTCTCCTTCAACTATATCTCACTAAGTGAAGCGAAGTTACTCAGTCGTGTCGAGCTCTTTGCGACTCCGTGGACTGTAGCCTACCACACTCCTCCGTCCATGGGATTTTCCAGGCAAGAGTACTGGAGTGGGTTGCCATTTCCTTCTCCAGAGGATCTTCCCAACCCAGGGATCGAACCTAGGTCTCCTGCATGGTAGGCAGATGCTTTACCATCTAAGCCATCAGGGAAGTCATATAAAAAGAAAAAAGTATGTTGGCTACTGCTTCGTCTCTTAATTGGACTGTAAAATCCTTAGGGATATAAAACACTCCTATATGCCTTATGCTTTCATGCCATTGCCTCTCAAATTATTTTTAAAGGCTCCCTTCTCATCCATGACTCCAGCTCCAGGGCTCTAGTAAATGTTGACAGCCCCTGTCTGAACAGTGGTCAGTGGTTTATGGGGGAGAAGTCTACCTCCCCTATAGTCCTTGAAAGTGAAAGTGTTAGTCGCTCAGTCATGTCTGACTCTTTGTGACCCCATGGACTATAGCCTGCCACCCTCCATGTCCATGGAATTCTCCAGGCACGAATACTGGAGTGGGTTAAGTTGGTCTAGTTTTCTTTGACTGTGTCTCATTTCTTTCCTAAACAAAACATTTAATTTCATTTTTAATATTTGTTTATTTATTTGGCTGCTCCAGGTCTTAGTTGTGGCGCTCAAGATCTTTGGTTGTGGCATGTGGGCTCTAGTTCCCTGACCAGGGATCGAACCTGGACCCCTTGCATTGGGAATGCTGAGTCTTAGCCACTAGACCACCAAGGAAATCCCTAACTTCATTTTTATACAAAGTATTTCAGACAATGAATAAAGAGCTGGAAAATTTCAAGTTCTCTCTTCAGTGCCATGTATTGCTAAATGCAGGGCATTGGAATCAAGGGTCCAGGGAGGCTGTGAAACTGTTAATTCTGATAACTGTATTTGGTGATTGGAAAATATGTACATAGCCTGCCTACAGTTTATACATACCTATGGTGCCAAATCTCCCAGGCAGGACTCTAATTAAAACAACATTACTGCCTCATTTGTGGTTATCCTTCCTTGTTTTTTCTCTTTTCATTTGCTTCTGACTTTCTATTTGCATATTAAAAAGTGTAGTTTGGGACTTCCCTGGGGGTCCAGTGGCTAAAAACCCACCTTCCACCGTGGGGTGTGGGGGAGAAGGGAGGGAGTTTCCCTCGTGGCTCAGTGATAAAGAACCTGCCTGCCAATGCAAGAGACACTGATTTGATCCTACAGGCCTCGGAGCCACTAAACCTGTGCACACAACCATGGAGCCAGTCCTCGACAGCCAGGGAGCGGCAACTACTGAGCCCGCACACCTAGAACCTGTGCTCTGCAACAAGAGAAGCCACCACAATGGAAAAGAAGCCCACACACCACAGCTAAGGAGTAGCCCCTACTTGCTGCAACTAGAGAAAAGCCTGCATAGCACAAAGACACAACACAATCAAAAATAAATAAATTACTTAAACTATTTTTTTTTAAATCTACCTTCTAATGCAGAGGACACCAGTTCGATCCCTGGTCTGGGAACTAAGATCCAATATGCTG